TAAAAAAAAAAAAAAAAAAAAAAACTTCTTTTTCTGATTTAAAAGAAAGGAAACATTTCTGTAGGCCCCTAAGTGTGGTTCAAGAACAAGACAAGAGGCACTCAGAGGTGGAAGCACAGGGACATCTCTCAATGGTCCACTTTTTATTTATTTCTCCTCACATGGCATGGGGAGTGCCTTCACCCTGAACCATACCTACAGCCCTTACTTATTTATTAAAATTTTGAGACAGGGTCTCATTAAGCCCTTTTGTTCCTCATGTTGGACTCGAACTTGTGATCCTCCTGCTTCAGCCTCCCTGAGTACGGGGATTATAGGCTTGTACCACCAAGCCTTGTTTCCTGGACTCCTTTTTATCTCCAAGACTTTTCCCAGGCTGAATCTTCTTTCCCGGTGTGCCCTTCTCTGTCTAGCACAAAGCATGCTGGGTGCTGACTCTGCTGGCCAACCTTCCGGCAGCGATTGGAGGGTGTGGGCAGGGAGGTCAGGCATGACTCAGCAGAGCCCCTGCGACAGAGCCCAGTCCACCAAGGCTTCCAGAGGCAGAGGCTCAGCCATGTTGGCTGTGGGACCAGGCTGAGGGGAGACCCTCCGGGCTGACCAGTCTGGGAAGCTTCCCAGAGCAGGGGGGCTCTGGACCAGGCTGGGAGCATTTGTGAAGGACGGGCTTCCTGGGGCTATCAGGCTGGCTTCATCCGGACGGCTTCGCCATAAAGATGGCAAATTGTGCTTGTGTATAGACTCTCCTTCCTAAAACCCCACTAGACCTGCAGAAAGAAAGTGTTCCTTGTCTCCCCCTCTTCCTCCCCTCCTTCCTGGCCTAAACCCACAAGGAGTGACGGGGAGTTAGCTCTGTGACAGAGTGCTTGCCTACCATGTGCAAAGCCCTGGGTTCAGACCCCAGCACTACAGGAATGAAAAAAAAAAGATATAGAAAGAAGCAAGTGACTTAGGGACACAGAAAAGCCACACCCAAAATGTTTCAGGGTGGCCGCTGAGCGAGCAGTTGGCAGCAGGTCTTTACCCTCCAGGCAGCACTAAGGGGTCCTTCCAGGAAGAAAGACCTGGAGGCTGTGCGAAAGGAGCCCTGATGAGTGCCAGTCAGTGAAGCCGGTTTTGCCCACACTGAGGAGCCAGTGGGCCTTAACGCATCTCTAGAACCCCGATAAACAAGGTAAATGTTAAAAAGACAGATTAGGCGTGGTGACACATGCCTGTAATTCTAGCACTCGGGAGGCTGAGGCGGGAGGAGGATTGTCCTGAGTTTAAGGCCAGCCTGGGCTATATAGTGAGACCCTGTCTCAAAAAACAACAAAACCAAAAGGAACAAGCCATTCCCATGTGACCCAGTGATTCTACTCCTAGGAAATGAAAACATGTAACCAGACAGAAATTATACAACAAAGTTCATGGCAGTGTTAATCACAGTAACCAGAAAGGGGAAACAGTCCACACCCCTACCAACAGGTGAACAGGGGAAACTAAATGGGTAGCCACGTGGTGGCATATTATTCAGCCATGAAAAGGAGCAAACTTACAACCTTTGAACGTGGATGAACATCATGCCTAGTGAAAGGAGCCAGGCATAAAAGGCCATATATTGTACAATTCTGTTTCAACCAGTGTCCAGAGAAAGAAGGCAGAGATTGGTGGTCAGCAGAGCCTGGGGAGTTGGGGAGAGGGCTGTGGTTCATGGGTTCAGGGTGTTTTTCCAGGGCAGTGAAAATTTTGAAACCAGAAAGAGGTGGTGGTTGCACAGCATTGGGACTATGCTAGAGGCCTCTGAATTATGCACTTCCAAATGGTGGTTGTTATATTATGGGAATTTTACTGCAATTAAGAAAAACAGAAGCAGCCCAAGACCTCTGCCCTCCACCCCTGCCTTAGAAGAAAGAGAGCTGTGGGTAGAGGCTCTGTTCCTAGATCTGGTCTCTCAGGTTAACAGCCCAACAGAGAGACTACGGAAACCCCAGGGGTCACTCCAGATGTGCGACAGCCAGATTTGAAAAAGAAGAATGAATACTCAGGAGGCTGAGGCAGGAGGACCACAATTTCAAGGCCAGCCTGGGCCACACAGTAAATTTGAGGTCAACCTGACCTACATAGTGAAACTGTGTCAAAGAAACGAAAAAGAGATAAACAAATAGAAAGACAAGGAAAAGCCGGGCGTGGTGGCGCACACCTGTAATCCCAGCACTCCGGGAGGCTGAGACAGGAGGGTTGGTCTGAGTTCGAGACCAGCCTGGGCTACATAGTGAGTTCCAGGTCAGTCTCAGCTACATAGTGAGACCCTGTCTCAAAAAATCAAAAAAAAAAAAGAAAGGAAAAAAACAGGAGAAATTAAATAACCGCTATAGCATCTTAAACCCGGATAGCCAAGGTATTATCAGTCCAACATGCAGTCAATATGGAAGTTACTGGAGAGGCGCACGTCACTCTCTCCCGTGCTGAGTCTGCAGAATCTGGCTCTGCTTGGCCTGCACAGAGCGTCTGCATGCAGCCGGCTGCACTCTGGCTCCCTGGCCCAGGGCTCCAGGTCACCCCTGTGGGTGCCACAGCCCTAGAATGTTTCGAACTGTAGTCTCTGGATGCAATCCGAAGAGGAGGGTTTTTGTTTTTGTTTTCAGTGGATTTTTTAGTTTATGAGTGAAAACAAATCATCCATGGTCCTATTGAGGATCATTTGAACAACCACCTTCAAGGAGTCCTTGGCAGGGAGTGTAGCAGGGAGGCTGAGGCGGGATGGAAAATTCAAGCCCAACCTGGGCAATTTAGCAACTCAGAGAGACCTTATCTCAAAAAATAAAAAGGGCTGGGGATGTAACTTAGTGTAAAGACACTCGATTCAATCCTCAGTACTCAGTACTGAGAGGGGAAAAAAAGGAATCGTAAATGAAACAAAACTTCCCTATGACCAAGCAAGTCCACTTTTAGGTAGATACCCACCGAAGAACTGAAAGAAAGCCACGCAGACGCTTCTACATACT